TGCGGGCCGAGGTCCCGGACGGGCGGGGGCCGGGCGCTCGGACGTCAGGCCGGGGCGGAGTCGGAGGGCTCGGGAGTCACTCGGGAAAGTCCGCGCCCAGCCTCGGAGAGGAGCGCGCTCGGTCGGGGTGAAGTCCGCCCCAGCGCGCGCCGAGTGCAGCCGGCGGGGAACGTCTCGTCCGCCCCTCTCGCCCCAGCCCAGCGGAGTCTCCCGGGTAGGGGGACTGGGGGTCGGTACCTTGGGAAACGGCTGCCGGGTCTCTATAGCCCGCAGGTCCTTGTCCAGCTCCGCGCTCAGCTTGGCCAGCTCTCTCTCCAGCAGGACCTGGGGCAGGTGATCGGGAGAGACTTGGGACAGTGGGGAAGCGGGGGAGGGGCGGGGAAGCAGCGCACGGTTGGGGGGCACTGGTCAAAGGTCAGACGTGAGTGGCCAGTGGGCAGCCGGCCGGAGCACGGTGCTTGCCCTAGTGTAAAGGGCAGGCTCAGGGCGCCGGGCTGGACAGGCTCCCTGCCTGTGTGCCTGCCCAGAGGTGTGCCTCAGGGTGTCAGGGGGGCCCCACCCTCCTGACCCAACTCACCCATCTGGCACGCCCACGATAGCCCCTTAGGACTTCCGGACAGTGCCTCACTACCATTCTTTGTCATGTCACTTGTCTGTTCAAAAGCCTGCAGGGCTCCCCATTTCCTCTCCCACCAAGTCGTCTATGGCCTTCCACAGCCGGGCTCCACTGTACCCAACTGCTTTCCCTCCACTGCCCATCCTGCCGCCGCCCAGACTTTGCCTCTGCACCTCCCTCATCCTGAGCGCCCTCTCTCTGCCTGGCCAAACCCTCCCAACTCTTTAGAGCCCAGCTCCACCTCTAAGAATAGGTCCTGAAAATTCCAGTCCACACTGACCACTCTTTTCTCAGCTCCTGCTTTGGTCAACACACATTTATTCCACACATGTTTGAGTGCCTACTGAATGCCAGGCACTCTGTGGTGGGTGCCAGGGATACAGAGGTAAACTGCACGGGACTGGAAGATCGGAGCTTTGGGATCTGTGTCCTTTGCCCAGGGTGACTGGGGCCAACATCACCCAGAATCTCCCTCCTTTGTCCCCCAACACTGCTTGTCTCCCCTCACCCCACTTTCCCTTCAGCACTCACCTCAATGGGCTGGGAGGGCTTCTCAACAGGGTCATCCACCAGAGGTTTCTTGGGCTAAGGATGGGAAGGGTGAGTCAGAGGGGATGAACTCACTTGCCAAAATGCGCTGGCGAGGGTGCATCCACTCCCAGAGGACCAGGCTCACACTCACCTTCTGCCCAGTCTCTAGTTCTTGCAGAAACTGGTTCCAAGATTCTTCTGTCCAGACATTGTCCGCTTTCTCTCGGCGTCTGGGCACCTGCATGGAGGTGGGTAGGCATCGGCTTGAGTAGATGGACACTGGGACACTGGGCAGGCTTTCAGGCCACTGCCCCACCCCTGTGACCACCAGTCCCCTGCTAAGGATTCTGGGTTCGCCTAGCTGTACAGGCCCCAACGGAAAGGACATTATCTGTGCTCTCTTCACAGAGGGACCTGGCCAAGAAGGCACTGGGGACAGTGTGGGGTGGGTGCTGGGAGGGCTACCTGATTTGGGGTCTGGGGCAGAGAGGAGGGTGCTCCAGCATTACAGTTGAAGGTACTTCTAGGAAACTCTTCAGAGAGGCCCCAGCTTCTTCTAGAGAAAGGGAAGGGCATGCATCTCTTCAGTTTCCTTTCCTCAGGGAAGCGGAGACATGAAGACACAGTCCTGGTAGAGGGAGCTGCACCCCCATCCTCTCTTGCTCCAAGCTCTGAAGCAGTGTTAAATAGTGGAAAGTTATGAGCTCTGAGTTCAAATCCCAGATCTGCTACTTAGCTGCACTACCTTTTGGCAAGTTACTGAACTGGCAGGGCCTCGGATTCAAGGCCTGTAATGTGAGAATGATTCCCACCTGCACAAGGGTGTGGTGGATCTTATGTGAGAGGACATACCTGACACGCCCAGGAGAAGGCCTGACGCAGGCATCTGCTCCATGAGTGGTCAGTCCCTTTCCTGCTGGCCTTGGTGAGTAGCCTGCTTTTGTGTTCAGTCTGGCCCCATGACTGTGGCTATGTATGTTTGTGCTTATTAGGTGAAGCTGGTCCTTCTGGTTGCCACACCGCGTAGTCTTGCACCTGTGCCCACGGGTGTGGGACTACATCCTAGTCCGAGGAAAACCCAAGGCAGGGAAAGAGTCTGCAGCCCTGACCCTGGAGCCCTGGGCAAGTTATTTCAGAGCCCTGGGGCTCAGTTCTCTGAGGGTGCTGAATTCAGTGACTTCATCTGGAGACCTCTCCAGCCACATTCCAGGCACTGCACGGTCACATCTGCCCTAGTCCCTCTAGGGGTCCCTTCTGGGCTAGTTTAAATGTTCCAGCCTCTGTTGAATTGGAATGTGTTCACTAAGTGGAATGACTGTACCAAGCTTATCAAATGATGGAATGTCTGACTGCAGGGTCAGGATTTGTTGGCTGTAATCATGACTATTCTCTATTTTCAAAATAATACTTGTGATAATGAGACTGGAATATGTCATTCCTAACTTAAGGAAGCTCTAGTCATAATTAAGCCTGTATATTAATAATGTTTGTGGAGACTTGCTATGAGCCCTAATCCTCACAACCACTCTATGATCCGCACTTAACAGATGAGGATACTGAGGCTTAGATGGGTTAAGTTGCCCAAGCCACAGCAGCTTGAATCCAGAACTCTGAGCTCTTAGCCTCTATCTTATCGATGATGCTGAGAGCCACAGGCCAGTTATGGCAATGTTAATGTGGTTAATCTCTCCCCAGAAAGGAATAAGAACCTCATTGATTTCACTGAGAGGAAAGCTCCTGATTCCCAAGGTGGGGTTGAGCCCCTCCAGGTCTTGCAGCTGGGGCTGGCCTGTGTGGGTTGCACAGAGAAAATCAGCTACATCTTTCACCTCTCTGGAGGTTCCTCTCTCAGGGGCATCTGGGAGGAAACTTGGGATCCTCTACCCCTTGTTTTCTATCAGGCATCAGTGTGGACGGCCACAGATCCACACCTAGTCGTGGGACACCCGGCTCTCCACCCCACGTTACCTGGGGATCTTTGGGGTGATGAATCCTGCTGCCAACCACAAAAGCATCACAGGGGTCCTGACCAGGAATAGGTGCAAAGTCCTCCCCTGCCTGCCATTCCCCTTGGGCCCTGGTGGGGAAGGAACTATCTGGAGCGGTGGGGACCCTGAGAAGGGGCTGAGCCATCAGAGGAGCCAGACCCCCCCATTCGCCTGCTTTGAGGCTGTGCCAGCTGTGGCCACCAGGGGGTGCGAGTCCCCACAAGGATGCCAGGGCCCATCTGTAGCCCTCAGGCCCCGTCCCCACCCCAGGCTTACCCGCTCACAGTGGAGGCCTGGCCTGGCCGGGAGGAAGGTCTTTGCTGCGGCCCTGGATGCCTCCTTGAGTCTGCAGAGGTGGCACAGGAGGAAGCCACTGAAGGTAGAAGACAGGCAGGGGTGGGGGGAGGTGAGAGTAGGGGTTGAGGTCACCTGGTTGACTATTGGAGGTTCAGGTACCCATGCCCACCCACACTCCTGGGTAGCTCCTGGGAAAAGGGGTGATGTTCTGGACCACTTAATGTGGGCTTTGCACTAAGTACTTTGTACTCTTTAAGAAATCTTCAAAACAGCTCTGGGGTAGGTAGTATTCCCATTTTATGGATGAGGAAAGAGAGGCCCAGAGAAATCACAGCCAGGGCTGGGCATTTATTGGCCAGTGAAGCTGAGGCTCTTAATTACCACTTAACGGGTTGTGGAGCTTACCAGAAATGGGCTATACAAACTTTTCAAGATGAATTAAGCCAACTGGGGAGCCCTAGAGCCAGATGTGGCCACAGGGAGGGGCAAACTCAGGGCCAAGCTGGGGTAGGCCACCCCCTCACCTTTGGGTGCTTCCTCAAAGGTCCAGTCCAGCTGCAGGTCTGCGGGAGCAGAAAGGACCGGGTGAGGGATGGGACACAAGCGAGGTCGGTGTGCCCCGTGAGGCTGCCTCAGCTGCTCCCAGCCTCCCTCCTGCTTAGAGCAGGGGCCAAGGGACTGAGTCAGGGCCTGAAGAATGTCCCGAGGGAGGGAAGGAATTAGGAGGGCAGTTCTGGGGAGGGCTTGAAATGCCTTTGGCAGACTTAAGGCCTGAGCCAGCCAACCAGGGCAGTGGACTTGCCCAAAACTCCTGCTCCTCCCTCCCTGGTTCCCATACAAACCTTCTCCTTGACCTTTGTAGACCTGCCCTCACCATGTGGGGTAGGGCAAATTCCACTTCGTCCTCTCCCTCTTTCCCCTTTGCACCCTCTCCTAAATGCTTGTCCTTCCCCCTTAGCCCAGACCTGCTCCTCATGGTGCTCAAGACTTTCTGGGGCCTCCTAGGAAAAGCAAATGACCAGCCAAACCACTCAGTCTCCTAGGCAGGCAGACCTGTCCCAACAGCTCCTCAAACGCCAACCAAAATACCCCTCTCCAGATCCCACACCTTCCTCCAACTCCTGGAGTTTTCTGCTTTCCTTTGCAGTCAATGGCTGGCCTTAACCCACTCACTGTCTCCAGTTTCCCTTCTTGTTGGGCAGGCTTCAGACCCACCATTCTTGCCCCAGCTGCTCTTCTCAAGGACCCAGTGACTACCACATTGCCAAATCAAATGGTCAACGGTATGGGGCCATCGGCAGCATTTGTCACAGTGGGTCCCTTCCTCCTTTTGAAATTTTTCTTCCACTTGGCTTCAGGGAGACCACTCTGGTTCTCCTCCTGCCTCCCGGGTGCACCTTCTCAGTCTGTGTGGCCAGGTCCTGCTCACCTTGGGAACCACCCACTGCTCACCCACTCAGTCCTTGGGCTTCTGTCTCTCCCTCTCTCCAGGTGATCTTATCTAGTCTTCTGACTTAAAAAAATAAAATCTAGCCCTGCCAGGCATGGCTCAGTGGTTAGGGCATCGACCTGCACACAGAAGGGTCTCGGTTTCAGCTCCTGGTCAAGGGCATGTACCTGGGTTGCAAGTTGGATCCCTAGCCTTAGTCGGGATGCATGCAGGTGGAAACCAATTGATGTGTCTCTCTTACATCAATGTTTCTCTCTTTTTTTCTCTCTCTCTCTCCCTCCCCCACTCCCTTCCACTCTCTGCAAATCAATGGAAAAAATATCCTTGGGTAAGGATTAATAACATCTGTTCCAGGGATTCTCGACCTTGGTTGCACATTAGAATTACTTGGGCAGATTTGCCTCAAATCTCTTTGAGATGCCTACTCAACATGTCCACTTGGATGCACCACATCTAAAACTGCGGGCCTCTCACATCTACACCTCCTGCAGTCCCCCCTGCATTTATAAGTGGCAACTCCATCTGTTGACCTGCTCAGGTTAAAGTCAGCCGTGACTCCTCTTTCGTGCCACATCCAATCTGTCAGCAAATTTCCAGGACTCTGTCTCCAGATCCCACCAGGCCTGCTACTGCCCTGGTCTGAGGCACTGTGGCCTCTGGCCTAGATTAAAGCCAGGCCTCCTGACTGGTCCCCAGCTTCCACCCCTGCCCTATCGCTTTCCCATCTGGCAGCCTGTGTGAGCCTTTCCAGGTATCACTTGTCAGAGTATGTCACTCTGCTGCTCAGAACCACCCAGGGGCTCCTTAGCTCTTGCAGAATAAAAGCCAAAGTCCTTATAATGGCCCCCAAAGGCCCTCTGGCACCCAATCCCATCTCCCACTATATGCCCCCTTCTCATTCCAGTCCGACCTCTCCTGGATGCTCCAGAACATGCCAGCCTTGCTTCTGCCCCTGGATCTCTGGTGCAGCGCTCCTCCCCTGCCCTGTAGGGCTCTCCTTCACTCCCTGAGCTCTCTGCTCCGATGCCACATAACAGGGACCTTCCCTGCCAGCCTCCCTGCACTGGGTACACCCCAGCCTTTTGCTCCCTAGTGCTGGCCACCAGCTGCCATACTGAGCATTTATCTGTTTACTCTGTCTCCTCTGTCTTAATCACCTTGCTAACCAGTCACGAGTATACACGTGTTTCCGTGTCCGAATGTGGTTGGCCGGTCACCAGTATACTTGTACTTCCAGTGTCAAATGTTGTTGACAGGTCACGAGGTAACTCGTGTCTGCGCTTACATTAATTTAAGTAATTTTAAGGCCTGAAAGCAATGTAGAGTTTTAAAAGAGCAGAAAAGTAGCCGGCCACACGGGCGAGTTCTGGCTCGAAACAGCCAGTCAGCGAGGTGTTTAAGCTTCACTGGGGCAGGGACATCCTTTTTTGTTCCGTTTTATCTTCAGCACCTAAAATAGTGCTCGGCATATAGTAAGTGCTCAATGGATGGCCAAGGGACTAACTGAATGAATGAGTGACCTCAGGGATTCCCAGTACCTTCAGAGGATACTGGGGACAGTGTCTGGGAGGAGATGGGAGGATACTTCCTTCGCCTGTTTTAGGAACCACTCATCACAGAGCCTGGGGGGGTGCAGAAGAGCTCCACAAGCAGGCAACTTCTTCTTTCTGCCCCTCCCTTCCGAAGCCACAGGAGCTGGAGCCCACTCTGGTAGAGACGGGGCCTGGAAGGGTGTCTCACCTGGCATTTTCCGGTGAATCTGCTGAAACATTTTCCGGTACCAGTCCCTGGGGCTGTCAACACTCTGGGATCAGAACAGACAAAGTCAGGCCACCCTCCCAATATCGAGCCACAGAAGTTTTTCCTTACCGAGCCCTCTTCCTGTGAGTCCCAGTCAGTGGGCTGTGTGGTGTCTTTAATGGCAATGACTCCGTGTAGCACATCACATGTGAATAAGATGTGGGGAAGGGTCTCCAACAGTGACCCCTAAGCTGTGACATTTAGGGTGGTTCACATTTTTTTCACATTGTTTCCACAAAGAATATGTGCTTCTAGGTAATGAAAAGTAAGTACAATAATGTAGGAGGAAATGGTATTTCATATCCCTGCCTCACCTGACACTCAAGATGGCCCTGGAAGGCAGAAAGGGTTCAGATGAAGAAGTGGTGAGCTCAACTAGAGGCAGGTAGCTGGCTCCAGACAGGTTTGGGGATGGAAGGAGGGCAGAGCCCCTGGGAGCCTGGAGCCCGGATCCATTCACGCTCATCCATGGTGTAAGGTCTTCTCACTCAGGACTCTGCTCACTCATTCAGCCAGTCATCCACTCCCCAACCATTTCATGAGTGCTGTGCCAGGCCCTGGGACCCGAAACTGAGAGAGGTCCCTGCCAGGGTCAGTCCTCACAGCAGTGGCCCTCCACCTTGAGAGCCAGGGGGCATTCTTGATTACCCCTTACTCCACAAATCACTGTGCAACTCAGACACACAAGTGAGGTTAATGAAACCCTGTGAGGCTCAGAACCCCTGAAACCCATCACAGTTGAACCCCTGCTTTAGTCTGAAATGATTGGGTACAGTCTTAGTTGCCCCGACTTTAATTCACAAAAGTGCTCAGCATGGGTCCCTGGGCCCCATCCGTCCGTGGCCCCCAGCCCTGGACTCACAGATCGGGGGGCAATAGGCATGCCGCTCTCATCCACGGGCCCGATTCCCTCGTACTTGACCCAGCGTTTGTCCCGGCGTTTGCTGTCCTTGGTCCATGTGGCTGACCAGTTCTGGGGATGCTGGGAGGCGGAGGTCTTCTGGGTCCCCGAGGGCCGGCTCCCAGGGCCTGGCCAGGTCTGATACCAAGCAGGGTCTGTAGGTGTGTGCATGAGAGCATTAGCAGTGGGCAGGGGCCCCAGCTGACACTGTCTGTCCCTTAGCTCCTCAGAATATTGATCCCCGTGGGTTTGAACATTCAACACATCCTTGTCTGTTGGAGTTGATGACTCACTCTACCAACCGCCCCATTCCAAGCAGGACCATGAGCCTGTTTGTTTATATTTTAGTTAAAGTGAATAAAAATGGATTTTGTCTTGAGAAATCTGCTTTCCTGGGGCTGTCCTAAGAACTTCTAGAATGAGGGCTGGGAATCATTCCTTGCAGAGAATGCTGGGGCTGTCCCAGCTCAGGGACAGCAGGGTGGGGCAGAAAAGATGCCGGGCTTAGAGAATTCAGACCCCGGATCTGCCACCTACTAGCTATGTGATCTTGGGCACAACAGTCAACCTCTCAGTGCCTCAGTTTCCACTTCAAGGGTCATCATGGTGAGGATTCAGGGAGATGTAGTGGGTGCGACCGTGCCCAGCACAGTGCCTGACACATAGCAGAGAGGCTGTCAGTAAGGGACAGAAACTCATTCACCAGACATGGCTGCCGTGCCCTCAGCTTCCCTAGACCCTCAGCCCCCAGGTCCCCAGGGCAGCAGCCTAAGGGCTTTGGTGTGAATCTCAGTTCTGCCTCCGTGCCTGAAACTCCCTGAGACTCAGTTCCTCACCAGGAAGACGCCCATGCTTTGCCAGGATGTCGAGGGATTAAATAAGATGAGACTTATGACTCGTCTTTACAGTGCTCAGCACAGTCTAAGTGCTCAGCAATTATTTGTTAAAGGAATAAACTCCTTGACAGAGTGCCTGCCTCAAGGGACCACGCAACAAAGATGCCAGCCTCCTCAGGAGAGGGGCCCCAGAGTGGGCCCGCATCCAGGAGGTCCCAGGATCTCCCGGGCCCTGTGGCCCAGGCTGCAATGACTCACAGGAGCCCGGGAGCTGACAGGCTCTCAGAGCTGCCTGTCTGCCTCGTGCTGGGCTGGTGAGGACAGACTGCAGCAGCCCTCAGGGGCCCGCTGTCGGGTTCGGGCCCCCATGCCCTTCTACAGCCAACACATGCTCACATTCCTCCACCCTTCCATTCCTCAGTCCAAGCTAACTCCCTGTCCTGCGGGAAATGCCCCAGCCCCCACGGCAGTGTCCCTGCACGCTTCCTTCCCCTGGCACTGGGCGGGGGTGGGAGGGGTGGGGGGAATGTGTCAGCCTGCTCTCTCCCACAGCTTTCACTCTCACAGGCCAGCATGCTCATCCAGGGAGGGGCAGTTAGCTGAGCTCGGAGGTCCCCACCCCTCATGGGGCTTCTGGACTAGGTTTTCCTGAGCAGACCCACCTGGGTGCCGGGAAGCATCTCTCCTCGTTGGGAAGTACCCATTGCACACGGTCCTGGGCGCAGGATCATGGAACTGGAAATTAAGGGTGTTGGAGCCACCGTTCCGGATCACAGGCACCTGTGGGGAGGGGCCAGGAGCGGCAGCTCAGGCCCAGAAGGTTCCATAGAAGGGTGGGAGGGATGGCTGCCAGGGCACAGCCATACCCCATGGTGAGGGCCCCAGGGCCAGCTTGACCCTTTTGCAGAAAATCAGTGAGGATCCCTAGAATTCTCTTCTGACCCCCATCCCTGCTTCCAGTCCTTTAATCCTTCTGCTCCCCACCTGTGCTGCCAGGTCCCCACCAACTGTGGGCCCACAGTAACCCTCTCCCTTGCTGTCTCACTCACCCGAGTCCCCCTGGAGGATGACCCTACATGGGCCCGGAGGTGGCCAGGGATGAAGTCGTCCAGGCTGAGCCCAGCTGGGTGGCTGCAGGGTGAGGCCTGCATACTTGGGTCGAGGTCAGAGGACTGCGGGTGTGCCAGCAGTTCCTCTGCACGTCCTCTGTGGGGAAGGAGGGAGGAAGGAAAAGCCCTGCTGAACCCAGCAGCCTGTGCCCTCTGGGCTTGACCTGGGGGTGGGCAGGAGGGGACGCTGTGGGAGGGCGTCAGGGCTAGCTGGGTGGGAGCTCCAGGACCCAGGAAACAGGCCACTCTGGGCACCCGCCTGCAGGCTGCCAGTGCTGGCTCCGAGGCACAATGGGCTGCTTGTTAGGCCCGGGGCCGGAGCTCCGGGTGGTTGTGGGGGAGGGGAGGCCGGGCGAGGAGGAGGGGAGGCTGGCCAGGAGCGGGCCTGCTGGACAAAGCTTCTGGCGGGCCTGCTGGCCAGCCCCTCTGGGGCTCTCACTACACAGTCAGCCCGTTCCCCCAGAGGGACAGCAGAGGGAACTGGGGCAGCTGGCGGAGGAGGCTGAGGCATGCGGGACTTTGTTTCAGTTCCCTCTGCCTTCCCGAGTCCCTGCGTGAGCATCTGCTCACCAGCAGGCACGAGGGGTTTCTCAGGCTGGGGAGAGGCCTTGGGCAACAGCAAGGCCACCCACCTACTGCCCAGCAGGGCCAAGGTTCAGGGGGAGAGCAAGAGGGCATTTCCAGGCCGCAGGAACCACTCCTGAGCTCAGAGCAGTATCAGCTCCTGAGTTTGGCCTCTGGCTGGAACTGACGCCTCAGAGGGCTCCAGGTGCCAGTGAGGGTGGGAGCAGAGAACTAAGCAGCGGGTCAGAGCAAAGTTGGACTTGTGCGTGAGGGGTGCTGCTGATCCCCCCCCTCACACACACACAATACACACTCACTCACACACACACACACACCACTTTCTCCTACACCTCCAGGCTGTTTTTTCAACAGGGGGTCTTCCTGGGAGCAGTATGCCTGACTGGCCATCTGGGTTCTTTTGCCCCCTGCAAAGGTTAACTCAGGGGAAGGGGCTCCAGGCATCCAGGGGATGGAGGCGGTGGTGCTCTCCAACAGGGCTTTGCTCCCTGGAGAGTGGTGGTGCAGAGCTGGCCCCTCACCTGTGCTGTTGCACTGGGCCAGACGCTGAACCAACCATCACCACCTTCAGGGGCTGGACCAATCCTGGTGTTTTTGTTCAGTTAGGCTTGTGTATGGCTGTGGGGTCCACAGGCTCCCGAGGGGGCTGTGAGGGCGTGGTGAGGGGTGTGTGTGTGTGTGTNACCACTCCTGAGCTCAGAGCAGTATCAGCTCCTGAGTTTGGCCTCTGGCTGGAACTGACGCCTCAGAGGGCTCCAGGTGCCAGTGAGGGTGGGAGCAGAGAACTAAGCAGCGGGTCAGAGCAAAGTTGGACTTGTGCGTGAGGGGTGCTGCTGATCCCCCCCCTCACACACACACAATACACACTCACACACACACACACACCACTTTCTCCTACACCTCCAGGCTGTTTTTTCAACGGGGTCTTCCTGGGAGCAGTATGCCTGACTGGCCATCTGGGTTCTTTTGCCCCCTGCAAAGGTTAACTCAGGGGAAGGGGCTCCAGGCATCCAGGGGATGGAGGCGGTGGTGCTCTCCAACAGGGCTTTGCTCCCTGGAGAGTGGTGGTGCAGAGCTGGCCCCTCACCTGTGCTGTTGCACTGGGCCAGACGCTGAACCAACCATCACCACCTTCAGGGGCTGGACCAATCCTGGTGTTTTTGTTCAGTTAGGCTTGTGTATGGCTATGGGGTCCACAGGCTCCCGAGGGGGCTGTGAGGGCGTGGTGAGGGGTGTGTGTGTGTGTGTGTGTATTGGAATGTAAGTGCAGTGCTGTGAATATGACTTGTGGGGGTACCGCAGGGTGTGGGTGGGGCATGTGAGCAGCACGAGGGTTGTGAGTATAGAAGGGTGTCAGGTATGGGAGGGGGCGGGTGCCGTTTGGAGGTGGGTCATATGAGCAGCACAAGAGTTAGGGAAAACAGAGGGGGTGCAGGGACAAGAGGGGCTATGTACCCAGTCCCTGCTCAGGCCATTGGGGGCTGGAGGGTTCAGACAAAGCTGGGGCAGGTTCCTGTCTCTGGTGTGAGTGGGGATTTCTTCTGACTCTTGAAGGGCATATTGGGGACATAGCTTTCCTGTGCCCATCTCTGGCTGCAGGGAGAAGTGGAAGGAAGGCTGAGGCTGGAGGAGGGGCAGCTCACCAGCTGGATCCAATTAGGACTCCCACCAAAAGCAAAACACCCAGACACACCCCAGTTCCTGCTGCTCTCCCTCCCCTTGTGGGGGAAATAGAGGCAGAGGAGAGTGGGAGATCCCAGCCAGGGCAGACTGGTTCCTAGCAGCAACCCCTCCCAGCCCAGCTGACTGCTTGAGGCCAAGTTTCGAGGTCAGCATCAGCAGTCCTTACTGTCAGCTGACCCTCCCTCCTTCCCACCCTGCCCCCTTCCCAGCCTCCAGATCTGTCCCACCCTGCTGTGCTCAATGAGAACAGCCCTCTCAGCAGGATGGGGAGGGTAGGAAGTCCCCCCTACAGCACCCTCTGTTTCAGGGGTTGCTGATTCTTGTGGGGGTACAGTCTGGCTCTCCTGTGGCACAGCTCCAGGGACGCGCAGGGGTGGGTGTGGAAGGGTGAGCTGAGTTTTTCACCTGGCAGTCCGGTCAGGGGACATTAAGGGAGACGTCTCCGAGGGACATGGAGGCATGGGGGGAAATGCACATCTGGCAGAGGGCAGAGGGCGCCAGGAAGTCTACAGGGTCCTTCCAGAGCTCAGGCAGCCCTTGGCCCCTGCAGCCAGCTCCAGAGGGCGGGAAGAGGGGAAGGGGCACTGCTGTGGTGCCAGGGCTGGTTCCCACCGGAAAGTTCTGCCCTAGGTGCTTTCCCGGGGGAGTTCCTAGTTGAGTCCACGTGGACAGGACGGATTTTCTCAAAGTTAGCTTTTTGTGGATTCTCACCTCTTCCACCCCAGAGTGTGGGGCGAGGACGCCGGGGAAGGGCTCTGCGCCTTCCCTTCGAGCTAGGCGCAGGTGCCGCCCGACCGCGCC